CAAAAGCAACCATAAAGGGAAGAATAGGCTAAGATGCAGGTAAAATAAGTTAGCATAGAATAGAAATGCATGAAAGTATGAAGGAATAAAAGATGGTTTTTCAATAATGTAATAGTAAAGTTGAAGCCACGCTTAGAGGTGGTGAAAAGCTGAGTTATTCTCACTTATGTGACTGTGCTTACCCTTTGTATTATTGGAAAATAAATGAAACAAAATAAAATAGAAATTGAAGGAAAAAATAAAAGCATATCAACATATTAACAAACAATTAGAAAGTCTTCCAATAAACATCATCAATCATCTTACTAAATGCTGAATTCAACAAACTTTATCATGAATTTATTTTTCTCTTTAGTTTCTCTCATATATACATAAAATTTAATTTGAGCTATTTTTTAATATAGACATTGAAAGCTATAAATTTCTCTCTAAGTACAGCTTTAGTTGCATCCCATACATTTTGGTCTGTTGTATTTTCATTCATGTTTGTCTCATCATATTTTCTAATACCGTTTTTTTTGCTTTCTTCTTTGACCCATTGATTATTGAAGACTGCAATTAAGACCATGTATTTGAGAGTGAGTTTCTTTCATATTATTGATTTCTAATTTCATTTAATAGAAAACATACTTTGGAGTTGCTGAGAGAACAATCTTTGTGCCATTTACATAATTTTACATTAATTTGTATTTGATATAGTTTATGCTAAAGAATATTTCAACTGTATTTAAGAAAATATTTATTTTTCTGTTGTTGACTGGAATATTCTATAGGTATGTGTGGAGTATAGCTGGTTTTATAATTGTTTAAGTGTTCTATCTTCCTGTTGATTTCTCCCTCATTATTTTAAACATTAGTAAAAGTGAAATTTTGGAATATTTAATTATTACCTTTAATTTCCATGTGTACTATGCTCAAGAACAGATTAGATACACAATATTTTATATATTGCTTTTTATAAAGAGACATATCTTCATTTATACTATTTTTAAAACTATAATATTTTCTTTACTGATACTTTTAGTTTTTAATGTGTGTTTGAATTACCATCTGGAATTTTTTGCTCTCAATCTGAAGAAAACATTCTTTAATAAATACTCATGCAAATTCTGTTGTGTTTTTGTTGCCTGGGAATGCTTCTATTACAAACACAGACACACTGAAGGGTAACTTTGTTAGATATATATCTTGGCTGACAATTTATTATTTTGTTTCATTGAGCATTGTAATCATGTTATTTTACTTCCTTCTGGCCTCTACTTATTCTATAAGAATTTAGCTGTTAATCATACTAGTCACTTTGGAAGTGACTGACTTTACTCTTGCTTGCAAGATTTTTTTCATTGTGTTTGACTCTCAGGAATTTTACTATGATGTGTCTATTGTCTTGTATAAACATTTCTTCATTTGCTGCTTTTCTCCAGAAACATTTCCGGGAATTTTATATCTGTTTTCTTTTATAATATTCATCATTTGCCGTGGGAAGCATATCTGTGAGCTCCTCATGCTATCATACTGAAATGGAATTATCTGATGAGATATATTTTATAAGTAAAAAAGAATGTCTTAGAAGATTACTGAAATTAAGAATAGTGTACAAAGGGGTTCAATCTCTATTAATAAGAAGAAAAAAAAGGAAAAATAAAAGACTGTAGTATGTGTATACCATTTTACAGTCCTACCCAAGAAAAGCAATTATATTTTGTATATCAGCAGCAATGCACTGAAAATCTAATTTTCAAAGGTAGTTAATTTTAGGAAGGTTTACTATAGCAACAGAATACATGCATCATCCAATAATAAATCGAACAAGAATGTAAGAAATATCTTTTAGCCAAAATAAAAGTTTATTGATATATATTTAGGAAAATAGATAAACCTTGATTATATCTTTATACAGAAGACTATGGCCATAAAATTGTCAATGCCTTCTAAAATTGTTTCTATTTGATTACAACCTTTACCAGAGGACTTACAGGAATTTTTAAGGGATTTGATAATCTATCTGACTCTATATTTATAAGAGAACAGCAAATAGACAAAAATAGCTCATACACTTTAAAGAAGAGATGATTGGGGAAAGTTCCTTGAAAAATATCAAGATTTTTATAAAGTTCTCACTTATAAAAAGGATGCTATTAATACATAGTTAGAAAAATCAGACTATTGGAACTGAATAGAGATTCCATGAAAGGATGAGAATGCAGAAAAACTGATTTGTGAGAGAGAGCATTAAGAATCAGTGGATAAGGGATAAGTTATTCCATAATTAACCTTGGGAAAATAAATTAGAAGTATGGGGAAAAAATCAATTCCATATAATGACCTAAGTCAGAAAGGTAGCATTATGAAACCAAATTTTATATAATTAGCAATCTTTAAAATAAGGCTTAAAAACACTTGTGATGAGATTGATAAAATTGACTGTATTGAAATTAAAATTTCAATGAAATGAAAAATCAGCATAAGTTTTAAAGAACAAACTGCAACTTTGTAGAAGTTATTTGCAACATGTAAGATTTTTAAACTAAACATAAATACATTAATATGAACTATGTAAAACCATTGTTATGTTTTTTAAATTGTTTTTATTTTTTAAATACATGACATGTTATGATTTTTGATATATGCAATATTATAATTTTATTTGTCCTATTTTTTTAAAGTCCTCAAATAAATTAATACTATATACAAGCAACTATGCAAAACTAGTAAACACACATGCGCGCGCACACATACACACACACACCAAAAAAAAAAATTCACAATCCAGTAGACAGGTAATTGACATTGCCTACAGTTGGTTGGTAAAACTTAACAAAAATAACTCATTGTCTTCTTTTATCTACTCAACAATTTCCTGTGTAAATAGGGAAACAATGTAAGCCAGGTGTGGTGGCTATAATACCAGCAGCTCCTGAGGCTGAGGCAGGAGGATTGAGAATTCAAGAAAACCTCAACAAAAGTGAGGTGCTAAGTAACTCAGTGTGACCCTCTCTCCAAAAAAATACAAAAAAAAATGGGGCTAGTGATGTGGTTCAGTGCTTGAATGCACTCAGTTCAACCCCTGGTATCCCCACCCCCAAAAGAGTGAAACAATATATGCGAATTCCAGGATTAACACAAAAGTATGAGTATGTGTTTAGTGTTAGATTCACCAACACTTTTCTAAGTGATAAAAGAGATTTTTTTTTTCTGCAACAAGCAGCATTCTTGCAGCAAATTCTAAATTCCCATTATAGACTACTTTAAAGAGAGAATATGCAAAGATACTTCTGGTATAAATAATGTCATCCACAAAAGACAAAAGCCCCATTGTAATTTTATTAATTGCATCTTAAGGAACAATTCTCAGCTTCTGTTTTGAACTATGGTGTATGAAATCACCCACAAATGTTCCCTGCACTAATTAACTGTACTCAAACTTGTCATATACTTTCTGAAAATATAACACAACTATATATTCTGTATGTTTTGAGATAATGTTCCCCTGCTTTTAGCTTACTGGTATTTTCTTCTAGGTCATGGAAATAAAGATTACTGGATCATTTGGTGTATCACTGCTTAACTCCATTAGAAACCTCTTTTTGCTCTGCAAATTACTATATAATGAGGCACAACCAGAAGAAGTTTAGGAAAAAATATTGTTAAATCAGAGTGCTTTTTCTGTTTGACTCCTTACTAGTAAGGCATTATAGGCCTGTTTTTATCATAAAGCAAAAAGATGTCTAATTATATGTCTGTTCTTAGGAATGACTCTTATTTTCTGGGAAATTGTAATATAGTACTATATGGCTAAGATTAACATATTTACTTAAATTCATTTAATGAAATATGTATCTACCTATTTGAGTATTTTAGAAACAAGTAGGACACTGATGTTCAGAAATTAGGCAGCAATGGTTTGAAATGTCTGCTTTAATGCACAATGATGAGGTTGCCCAATCTTCTGAGACCTGAAAATTTATTGATATCTGAAAAGAAAAAAATCTTAACTGAAATAATAATTACACAAAAAAACATTATATACAGTAGCCAAATATTTGTTTATCTGCTTTTGATCATAATATCAATATGAGATAATTAGTAAATATTTGTTTTTCATTAATCAGAATTTGAAAATAAATTAATATGTACAAATAAATTAATATGTATAATGCATAAGATGGTGATACATAATAAACAAAAATTTGGTGTGGCTGATAGAATTTCAAAACCATATTGTTAACATGGAACCAATCGCTTCTTAGTAACCAGTTTTATGTCAAACTGCAGTTATATACTTAAGTATTGCTCCAGGTAACCAGTTACCTCCCTGTAACTAATTGACACACACACATAAAAGTGGAATACTTTCTCAGATGACTTCTCACTTGTTCTTACTTGTATTACTAGTATACAAAAAGTTAGTTTACATGATTTTTACATGTGTGGCAATCCTCCAATTGGCAGTAAATGGAGCTTTTGTTATTTCTTAGTATAAACACTCAAAAGCATGATTGTCTCTTTTTTTTAGGTACCTGTGGGAGTCAACAAAGTACTTTGATTTGCATGCCATATTGTCATTTAGTCTATGTTTTAATATAGAGTTTCTCTAACCAATCTTCCAAATATGGTGCAATTCTACCCAGTCAACTTTGTTCAGTGCATTATAAAGCTAAATAAAGAGAATGGAGATTTGAGAAAATGTATGTCTTCCAAAAGAACTCTTAAAACTTGAAGATTATTTTTATAAAATTAATATTTTATAAGTATATGGTGCTGGTAAAATTCCATTAGTTCATTATTTGGCTCCATGCATTCAAACCATTATTGTTTGGTTATTTTAACTCATGACAAATGAAAAAGTGGGGAAGTACAAATGTAAAGAGAGCTTGAGAGGTCCACTAGAGTTGGGATTGTCTTAAGATTTGCTGGGGATTTACGAACTTGGGAAACAAGTGTTGTTTGGATAGCCATTTTGAAATGATTTAAATTATTCTAATTTCCACTCTTTCCAGATAATTCCCTCAGCATTTTGGCAAAGCATAATGGATTCAACCGCCAGAAGCAAGAAGTCTATCTTTTACCAATCATAATCAGTGACAGTGGAAATCCTCCACTGAGCAGCACCAGTACCCTGACTATCCGGGTCTGTGGCTGCAGCAATGATGGTGTTGTCCAGTCTTGTAACGTTGAAGCGTATGTCCTTCCCATTGGACTCAGTATGGGCGCCTTAATTGCCATATTAGCATGCATCATTTTGTTGCTAGGTAGGTATTTCCTTCATAGCCTCATGGTCACCATTTTTCTGGTTCATAAATGACTGTAAATGAGGACAGAAAACTCTGTCCTGGCCAGCATCAGCATTCTTTGAGGCAAGAAGTATTTCCTTTTTCCACACTGTGAGGTCACTAAGAGGAAGTCAAGAAAATGTTATGATAGTACATGTAGAATTGAAGAGAATGTTCAGTGCCTTTTTCAGTCCCATCATCAGTGAATGATGGGCAATGTGTAAAAACAGAATATGGTGGTGAAAGTGGGAATGAGCCTTTCTGTGTTTGTAGCCTCTATTATATAAGATCTCCCGATCTTCTGATGCAGACACACCAGTTACTGTAAACAGAGTATGCTATTTGATGCCCATAATACTATTGTATATAAGCAGGGTATAAATTGGGTTACTTAGCCCATCAGATCCTAACGTTTAATCAGATAAAATGAAAAAAAAAAAAAGAGTAGACACAATATGTTATCTTCAAAAAAGATTGACAAAACACAAAAAGTCATATCCAATGCTGTTCTTAAAGAATAAAACACCTTAAAGATGGTGTCATTTACTATCTTCTTCACTCAGTACCTTGGATTTAAGCCTAACTTACCTCTCTGACATATGTTTCTCCAGTAGCCCAAGTTTGATCAGGGTACCTAGTTATGTGTTCTTATCCCTTTCCTCACCATCAGGTCTATGTTTTCAGATTTAGGAGCTTTCTTTCATCAAGAAGCTGCCCATGTGTGTTTAACGTTTACTCTGTGAAAACAAAAAAATCTTTTTTTAATCTAGAGGACTTTGAATAATAGTTAAAACAGAAAATACACAAAGTTGGAGCTCACTAGTCTGTTTTTTTTTAATTTTTATTTTATTTTATTTTTTAACAGAAGAGAGACATGGAGCTAAAGGATTTTCAATAATTTACCCAAGAGATACACCAAATTAGTCCTGCTGCATTTTGATTTCATACCATTAGAGCTGAAAACAATATTAAATGTATCCTTCACCATAACTATCTAAAAGCCTGTTTATTTAACCCAGCATCATCACCCTTTAATAAACAGTCATAATCTGGAATAACACTGAAAATTCAGTGGCCAATCTTCAGAAAGATGTTTAGCTAAATTTCCTAATAAAGGTGATTGAAGCCACACACTCCTAAATGCCCCTGTCTCTTAACATATATGATGTACTGATAATAAAATTATATGTTCCTCCAGTTAATTATTATTTGGCATTTTTCCTACAGTCATTGTGGTGCTGTTTGTAACTCTGCGGCGACATAAAAATGAGCCATTGATTATCAAAGATGATGAAGACGTTCGAGAAAACATCATTCGCTATGACGACGAAGGAGGAGGGGAGGAGGACACAGAGGCTTTTGACATTGCAACTTTACAAAACCCAGATGGAATTAATGGATTTTTACCCCGTAAGGATATTAAACCAGATTTGCAGTTCATGCCAAGGCAAGGGCTTGCTCCAGTTCCAAATGGTGTTGATGTCGATGAATTTATAAATGTAAGGCTGCATGAGGCAGATAATGACCCTACGGCCCCACCATATGACTCCATTCAGATTTATGGCTATGAAGGCCGAGGGTCTGTGGCTGGCTCCCTCAGCTCCTTGGAGTCCACCACATCAGACTCAGACCAGAATTTTGACTACCTCAGTGACTGGGGTCCCCGCTTTAAGAGACTGGGCGAACTCTACTCTGTTGGTGAAAGTGACAAAGAAACTTGACAGTGGATTATAAAAAAAAAAAAAAAAATTCCATGGAACTGAGCATTCTGTAATATTCTAGGGTCACTCCCCTTAGATACAAACCAATGTGGCTATTGTTTTAGAAGCAAGTTTAGCACCAATCATCTATAAACTCAACCACATTTTAATGTTGAACCAAAAAAAAAATAATAAAAATAAAAAGTATATGTTAGGAGGTTATAAATCTTGTGGAGTGTGAATTAAGTATGTGGAGTGTCTAGAAGTCTTTGGATATTTGATATTTACCTGACTACCACAGACAAAGATTGGGATCCTAGCTAATCTTTAGAGAAATGGTTTAAAAAGAGGAAAAAATCAAAATTAAAAGGTGCTTTCTTAGAAAAAAAAAAATGGACCTGCAAGGAATCTGCTGCTGATTTGTGTCTTCTTCAAGGATTTTTATGAATGCAAATGGTTTTTTCCCCTTCACCAATAAGGATCCCGCCACAAATGATAAAGCAATACTTGGTCTGCTGTACATTATGACTTTTTGGAGTTTCGGGAGGCCTCCTAGATTATACGGTACGGTGACCACACATTGTACATAATTGTTGGCCCCACTCACCAGAGACTGAATAGCATCTTTAAATATTGTGTCGAGCCTTAAAAAATATTCACATGTTCGTAATCCATTCCAGGGTGGGGATTGCCAACTCAGTGGTGGGAGGAGAGAAATCCCATTCAAACAGCTTGTTTCTAGAAGCAGGATTCCTCCTTCCCTCCACCTCATCTTCTTCCACAAGGACACAAAGATAAACTGTATCCCATAGTGGACTAATTAAGAGACAGATGGTTTTATTGCTAGCGCGTGAATTTATTTGTTTAATCCTCAAAATAAATATTTTATTGATGTCCATTAATGCTTTTATTTATTAAGGTTGGTACTCTATAGATTAAGGGACTATATGGGAAAAGAATCCTAAATTATATCCATTATTAAGACTTTAGATTGTTTTATATAAATATATATACAATGAATGTTTAATACATGTACATTTTGATGAGATAAGTATGGAAGGCAATATTATGAAAAAGGAGAGCTAATAGTCTCTTTAGAGTAGGAAGTGTTATTGTGACTGGTGATGGCAGGAACAGCATTTTCCCAGAGAAACTTAACGGACTGTTTTTCTATTTTGTTCATAATCCTAGTATTTGGTGTTTTTACTACAAGCACAAACATCTGAAAGTATATTGATTCCTGTGAATATTTAAACTCTAGACTTTTAGATACCTACCTAATGCCCTGTCCAATAAACATGCTTCAAGTTGCCCCCCACCCCCACTATTTTAGAAACAGGAACTGATTTGTACATAATTTTACTGCTTCTGTTTTTAGCACTTCTGTCCCTGATCACAGTGATCCACAGAATGTTTTAGGCTACAAAGAAAAAAAATAAAAAAGAGCAGCACTAGAAGATGTGAGCATATTTAATTTGTAATGCAAACCTGCCATTTAGGAGTAGAAAATGTATGATAAAACTCAAGTATTACATGCAGATCATTTTAATTTTCTACTTTGCTTTAATGCAATATTGTTTATTTACTCCATGTATTGTATTCAGAGAAACTCCTGTATTGTTTCCTACTTTGTGAAATATATTTTTATAAATACCTTTGTTGTCATCATTTTTTTCCAGCCAAATGAAGACCTGATATTAACAAAATTATCAACCTCTAACTAACGTCCTAAAGGGTTCCGCCAAATCATCCCAAGGAACACTTTTATTTATTTGAGTCTTCATTATAAAGAACTAGAGAAGAGAAATGGCTTGATAGCTTTCATATAGCAAGATATAAGCAGAAACATAAATGGAATTTAAAATACCTAAAAGCTTTCCAATTGTACATTTGGGTACTTCTGGGAAGGGAAGTGGTACTGGGCTGGAAGACTTCAGACAAGATGGTAGGTCTACAACTTATAAAGATGAAGGGATCAGAGAGAACAGGATTTGACAAGAGAGCCTTAGACTGCAACATAAACCTGGCAAAATTTCTGTCAGTGCATTCAGAGGGTTCTGGTATGAGAGACTGTCCGCTAGAGCAAGATATCACAGGGCCAATGTAGTGAGGCTCTGGTCACCTGCCATCTCAATCACTGGCTCGGGGCTGCCTAAGGAAAGCATGGATCTGGCTTGCAAATTGAGGGCACCAAGTTCTAGTAACTGCCTCCTTTGTGACAGCAACAAAACACTTGCATGTTATAACAAGAATTTAGTAGCTATCCAGTGGTTTAATCAAATCCTTTTTGAGACCCCTCTTTCTGTGAATAATTCATCTTATATGCTTATCCCAGAGGCTACCGAATACTCTTTCTGAGGTCAAAGTGATGATCCAAAGTGACTTTTATAATCACCAGGTTAGCACAGTAACTAAAACAAGTATCTGATGAATATAAGTTATCAATAGCAGTTGTAGTAATAATGATCAATTTTTAACAATATTCTAACTATCTTACACATTCCAAACCAAGGTGAAATTATTTATTTTTATTTATCTCTGGTATATCAGACTCATTTCTGACTGGTTTACAGTGAAGTGCCATAGATTTAACAAATATATCTAACACAAAAATAACACTATTTTACTTTGGGAAAATTAAACCTATCTACTCCTGTTAGGAATCAGTAGGTTATCCTCACATGGTAGTTTTGTGGGAAGGAGATAATAAATGGTATACCAGTTGTCTCAAACTTGCTTCAAAATTTATTTTACTTAGGAAGAGGGATGGAAATATTTAGATTCCTTACTAAATTTTTACCATCACCATCTAAGCATTTTGTGCTTAAAAGCCAATTCCAAATTTTGTAACATGGGGTGAAATGAGTAATGCTGTGTTCATTATAAAGACTATACTATATGAACTATGCTTTTCGAATATCATGAATTTATATGAAGATCCGAGGAACATGCACACCACACACACACACACACACACACACACACACACACACAATTTAACTGAAGCCTTTAACAACAGACTTAGCAGGACTTCACCAACCAAAAGAATCAATAGGGGTTTAAGCACTACATGCTCAACTTGCTAAGTAACACATTATACAATTTTATTGAAGTGATTCTTTTTATATTTGTACATAGTCTTCTGTTCCATCAACATTGATATATATTTTACATGTACCTACCTCTGTGGTTACTTTTCAAATAATTGTCTACAGATATTTTAATGTGTCTGTGGATCTTTGTGTGTCACAAAGTTTAGTCTTTTCCTATCCTTTGAAACATATCTCTGCCCAAGGGTTTAATGACTAATGTAAAAGAATTGCTATCTGGAACCAAGTGAGAAAAAATTGTCTCCCTCTGTCTGCCACACAATTCAAGGTTCCAGATGCATCCCTGGATGTCTGGACCCCTCTTGGGATGAAGTCAGCCTCCATTCTGTGTATTATTATTATTATTTTAATATTTAATTTTTAGTTGTAGTTGGACACAATGCTTTACTTCATTTATTTATTGTCATGTGGTGCTGATGATTGAACCCAGGGCCTCACGAATGTGCTAGGTGAGCACTTTACTACTGAGTCACAACCCCGGCCTCTCTGTGTATTATTTGACCAAACAAACTTATAAAAAATATCTCTTAAAGGTACAGCTGTATATATTACAGAGTATTAGGAAGCCATTCCCTACCATACTTTTCATGAGTGCAATTATTACAATAGTTTAAAATAGTTCATAATAATAAGATACTATAAATTAAATTAAATTCATGTGTGAACCTTGCCTCAGAGAATTGTGATTTCTAGGCTATGAATTTTACAGCAAAAATGTTTTGGAAGGAAAATGTATAGGTAAGTGTATGTGTATATAAAAGAAAAAAAAACTTAGATTCACTGGCATCGCTAGTGAAGCAAGAATGGTTAGAAATAGACAAATGTGTCTTTGGAAGAGTTCACTTAATCATATGCTTAAAGTAAGACAAGACTCTGCAGGAGACTTAGAAATCTCCTAGGAGCAGCCGGATTCCACACTGAGACTCAACAGAGTGCTGGGCTATGCTGTATTTTGGAGAAGGAAAAACGGGTGCTGAGAGCTAAGTAGCCAATTACTCTTTATAGCCACATAAGGACTGGAGGCAAGTAGTCCCTTCCAACGAGTTGTGTTATGCGATTACTAGCTTTGCAGGGAATCTCACGAATGTATAACCTTCTGATTGCCTTTTTGATTGAAAGTTCCATCTGAGATCAAGGCAGTGCAACCAGTAATAAGATTTCAAAAAAATCCCATCACTGGCACTGTCGGAAAGGTTGAGCATGACTGAAATCCCATCATTGTCAGTCAAAAAGATAAGGTAACAGCGGGCATCACTATAAAAGCTGTATAAATGCACAATTTAAACATGAATATCAACATTGAAAAGAATATGCATGATATCAACATTGAAAGGAATATGCATGCATGTTCATCTGTATCCACACACAAATACATACACACACAATTAAGGGAGTGGTGATAATTTATATTGAGTTCATTTCACATTCTCATACACTACTAAAACCTGGAATGGGGGCTCTTTGTTTTCCTCAATCTAAGTCTGAATTTGAAAGCAATTCGACTGAGGATAAAGGGTTTTAAATGTAAGTTTTTTTATTTGTGAACAAAATAATTGCTCATAATGCTTGGGATTAGAATTAATGCATTACATCCTGAACTTGGATTTAGACGTTCTGCACCATTGTATTTTTGTGGAGAAAATAATTGTAGAGTATATTTTATAGGAAATACTTTCTGGCGTGTTTTTATTTTATTTTATTTATAAATTGCAATGGCTTGTTGCTCTACAAAATTTCTTTGAAATGTTACTTAGTTGCGCAGTGTTGACTATGTTTGACATTATAGTTACTGCTCTTCATAAAAATTGTAGGAGATGATGTTGTCATTATCACTAAAGTAGATATTTATTTTTTATGATTTTATTCTATAGTCAATACACGTGTGGATTAAATAATATATTATCTATATTTAAGACATCCAAACCTTACTACTATAGACACAATCCTGGTATTATAGGACCATGCAATTAACCTCTGTCCTTGCTTCCTGGATAGACAATCTAAGGGATAAGAAGTTTGTCTAGTACAATTACTCAGCTTCTACCAGTGCAGGGATTAGCTGATATATAGATATGAACAAATAAATGCAATGGTATTTCAAAACGTATTTTTCTAACTTATAAAAGAAGCTAATCAATCACATCTAAACTAATTGTTGAAATATTCCTTGCCTATAATTAAATAGTAGTCACATTTGGAGTTAAACTTAGGTTGATCTGACATTAGAGTCCCTTTACTCTCCACTAAACAATACTATCTGTGATTATAATGTGAGGCTTAAAATGATAAGAAATAGAAAGCACATTATAGTTTGTGCTGTGGAAGTACTGAGCAGTAATTAAGTGACTCCAAATGGCAAGACTTAATGAAGGTTTCACAGAGATTTTTTTTTTTTTTAAAGATAGCAAATGAACAAGCACAAAGAAACCACAGCTTTTCCAAAAACTAAGGGTAATTGTAAGAAGCGCCACATGTAAGGACTAAAGACAGATGTTTGGACACTTGGAAAGATAGAGAAATTGATGTTCATAGAATGCTCTCTTAAGGCCTAAATCATGGTTACTTTTGTGGGTGAGATATGAGGCTCAGAGACTTCTTAAGGAATGTTCTAGAATTTAGCTACACATCTAATAAGTGAGAGGTGGGAGTTGGAGTACAGCTTCTGAGTCATTTCCAGGACCAGGACAGTGAAGTTGTGTTTTGATATGCACTGCCTCTCTTTTACTCATGGAAATTTCCTCTAGATCACTGCAGGAGACATTTGCTGGAGGTATTGGTGCCTGAGGGCACTCTCCTTCCAACTTGTGTTACCTGTCACCATCTGGTTCACACCTTGAATGCAAGTGTTATCTCTAACAGATATCTCTACTAATAGATAATAGATATCTCTATTATTATCCACAGATTACAGAAGAGGGTTACTAGGAGGAATAACACAGGATGTTGCTGAAGACAAAGACTGCGGAAACAGTGACATCAATGAACTCAGAGGCCAGAACTACAAAAGGAAATGAGAAGTCACAAAAGGCAAATTTTAATTCCTTCAGATTTCTTCTGTATGTGCCAGGGTATGGAGGGCCATTCTGACTCCACATAAACATGAGGAAGATTTTAACAACATTGTCTAAGATTAAACATGCGATTTACAAATCATTGATTGAGATGACTTCTCCTTTCTAATGAATGCTTTCCTTTGGCTTTGACTTTCTTTGATGATTTTCTAGGTTTTCTTTAATTAAACCTCTAGATTTGGAGAGCTATTACCTATTTGTTAAGTTTGTAGAATATAGAAGTGGATGGTGTAGGCTCAATGTTGGGGCTATAAATAACAGTATTGCAAATAAACTTTAAAATGTACCCCCTACCAAAACATGTATTTTCTGCAATGTATGTTTGAGATACTGTGCTTGTGACAGGTGAAAGGTATACTCACCATTCTTCTCTTGCTTCTCAAAGACATGGGTAATAATTGGATAAATTATAGAGTTAAGTAAAGGACAAACCATTAGACTTGGCTGTCATATGAAAGTGGGGAGCAGACAGGGATTTGAAATCACAGAGAAAAAATGTCAAAGCTTACTAAGGCACAATACCATGCTAAGGCATTGCTGGAAAGAGTCTCGGAGAGAGCAGACTGTCAGACCATGAAGACTAGAGGGTAAGGCCAGGCTAGATTGCAGATATCTAAAAATGAACAGAGATGCCAAAGTGGGAAATTTCTCAATGAAATTCAATGTCAATATCTAAAATCCTCCATGTAACAAAACTCCCCAATGCTTATTTGTTTAACAACTATGTACTGAGGATATTCCACTAATCTAGATGTTGAGAATAAAGCAGTGAATAGGATAGGAAAGGCTATCTCCCTTCAAAGCTTTGGTAGTATGAGAAAAAAAAATAGATGAGTAAATTTAAGAAAAAAGAATTGACATGATGGAACTTAATATACATGCCTAAGAAACTAAATGTTTTGCATATCATAGAGATATTTCAGTTGCTAGTTTTTACGCTAATAGCAAACAACAGCAAAAACTATGTAAAAGTTTGTTTTAGTTGTTCTCCTGTACTAAACCAGTGGCATACACAATAAATGAGAATGAGGTCTATTCTGTAGTAGATGAGGGAGAAAGCACACAATAAGACTCCGAGAGCTGAGCAGAGAGTGTATTATACAGGTCGTGGTCTACCAGGATTAGAAGCTCAGATTCACTTTATGCGAAAGAGGAAGCAATTGAAAGGGACTAAAATTGAGGGAATGACATGGTCTGACTTGTAGTTTTGAAATGATCATTCTCATTCTTGTATGGAAATAATATTGTCGGACCCCAGAATTAAAGCAGAGGCCCAGAGAGAAGTTTGTTTCTTTAGCCCAAGGAAGAAATTATCTTGCCTTTCACTCTTTCAGTGGTAATAGAGATGGAAGAAATAGAATCCTGATATATATCGGATATAAAATTGGAATCAATGGAGGATGCATTCAATAAGCCGAAAGAAGGAAAGACGAAATTTAAACATGACTCCTAAAGGTTTTTACTTGAACAACTATGTGATTAATAGATCCATTTTCAAAGATTGTGAAGACAGACTGAATTTGGATACCAAAAGCTTGCATCTGACTTCTCTAATGATCCACAGTAGAAAAAGATAGCAGAAACCACAGTCCTGTAGAAACTCCTACATGGAGTACGTAAAAGACTGTGTTAGGATTTCCCAGAGAAGCAGAACCAAATGTATGTACAATGTGTGTATGTCTCTCTGGGTGTGTGCATGCCTGTGTATTTAGGTGTGTGTGTATGTATAAAATAGATATCCTATTTTAGATATATGCATATATGAGAATATTCTCTTACATGTGTATCCCATTTTGTGTGTATACATACATGTATATTAAAGAGAGGAAGAGAGACAGAGATGGATAAGTAGATATTGATTTAGTATAAGGGTATTTGTATATTAGTATATTAGATAATGAGATGGGTAGTGATCTGCTATCTGCAGGCTGGATATGCAGAAAAGCCAGTGATGTAGTTCAGTCAGACTGACTTCCTGAGAACCAGGCAAGCTAATGGCAGAAGTTCCTACCTGAGGGCCAGAGAACATGAGATAGATAACCTGGCTCAGGAAGTAAGGCAGAAAGAAAAAGAGTCAAATGACTCCTTCCCCATGTTTAGGCCCTTGGTGGGGCACATGATGCATACCTAGACCACATGATGCCCACCTAGACCATGGGAGACAGCACACTGAATTCACGGATTCAAAGGTTACCATCATCCAGAAACACCCACACTGATTCATCCAGAAATAACATTTAATCTAGGGACCCTGGGCACAGCTAAGTTGATACATAAAATTAATCTTCTCAGTGACCGTCCCAAGCATGCTACTATATTTTGATTTTCTGTAGGTAAATTACTGAGCCAATAAAGGTCACAAGACACATCATGATTCATCTTAGAGAAGATGTAGTTAGACTGATTATTTTATATTTTCTAGTTTTCAAAAGATGAAAAACAAATAGAGGTTCTATTTCATTCAACAAGTTCATTCTTGGCTGGGGTATGAGGGATTCAGTTACTGGAAATGTTTCTTAGTGATTATGAAGAAATTATTATGAAACATTTATCTATGCTTACAAAAATGTAAGGAAAAGCACATGTAGTATTATATATAAATGTGACACATTGTCCAAGAAGCATTCCTAAGCTAATCCTTTCTCTTTGAAATGAATGCTAATCCTAAAAGAAAAAAACAAAAACAAAAAACTTTTGGGATTTGAGGGTTAGTTATGTTTAAAAACTTAAATTTACTGGAAAAAATATACTCATTTTTTTGGATTATGTGTTAATCCCCACTTTCTAATAAAGTTAACCTGAATCTCTGGAAGTTGATATTGGGTGCACATAATATGTTTAGAGAGAAAAGTATTGTGCCAATAAGTATAAGAATCTCAGTGAACCATAAAGAAGAATGAAATTATGGCATTTGCCAGTAAATGGTTGGAACTGGAGACTATCAAATGCAAAAGCCAAATGTTCTATCTGATAACCCATAGCAAGGGAAGGGAGGAGGGGAAATTATAGAAATTCATTGGATTAAACAAAGAGGAAGGAAGGGAAGGGAGGGGGCATGGGAATAGGAAAGGCTGTAGAATGAACTGGATATAACTTTCCTGTCCTTATATATGAATACACAACCAATGCAACTCTACAACATGTACAACCACAAGAATGGGATCCTAATTAGAATAAATTATACTCTATAGATGTATAATAAGTCAAAATACATTCTACTGTCATGTATATCTAAAAAGTACAAATAAAAATATATTAAAAATTATAAGAACTTCTTATATAAAGCACTAATTTAAATGGATGCACCAAATTTGACATGCATTTATTATGTTATGAACCCTGTATTATATGCCATGGAGCTCGATCAAAGATGATGAGACTCATTTCCTGTCCTTGAGAACTTTTGTCTTCTGTGGCAGTCTCACACACTTATTTAAATTTTTAAAATTATAGCATCATGTTTTTATTTGTGTATGTTTTAGCAATTTCAAATTGCTATTAGAACACTGAGTCAAATACTTAATACTTTATGAGTTCAGGGATACATACATATTTATTATGCTCTGCCATGCAGAAAAAGTTAAAGATTTAGTTGGTCATTATGGGGTGTGATGATGCATATAAAGACAATATCAAGTGAAAAGCACAGGGGCACAAATGTTCAAGCACTCTAAAGAAGACCATAAAACTTGGGAGGGATAAACCAAGAACAGAAGTTGACAGATTCATTTTTTTTCCTATCGAAATGTCAATGAAATCTAGGAGTATATTTATAAGTAACACCCTTTGTTTTACATGCTTTATTCTAGAAATATAAAGATAATTTCATGTAATAGTTGACTATCAAAGACAAAAATGCCATGTGAATACGTCAATAGATGATTTCTTTGAAAGTCTTCATAGAGTTACAACTTGCTTCAATCCTAGAAAATTAGTCAGTAAGCCTAGAACAGAACTCCTTTTTTCATGAATGGTAATTGCCCCAATTTTATAGCAATTAAAATAGTTAATAGAGAATCCTTACATACATTCTTCTAAGAGGAAATAAGAAAAGAAAAGCTGTCCTCATTGCTTCACTTCAGTATAATAAAGTTCTAACTACCACCACTCTCTTTGGGAGAAATCATGAAGCTTTCTAGATGTAGGAAAATCATAGAAAAAATTAACATACTAGATTGATAAATTATTAACACTAAGTAGATATTTCAGCAGTGTAGCTAAATCTGAATGATATTTATGAAAAAAATTAAAATGTTAAGGATTTCAATTCTTAAAATTGATTCTCCGATTTTCATCCCATTATAATCAAATTTGTAATTGAAATGTTTTTTATGAATTTTATTTTACATTTTATTGAGGTCCATTCTCCCACAAAAAGAAAATGTAAGTAATATTAGCAGAAAGATAATGAAAGAAGTATGTTTCTCACACTACCAGGTAAGAGGAATTTGCGGCTAAGCTATGAAAAATAAATCAAGGAAACAATAAAAAAATCATTAAAAAGCCTGTGGAATTTCTGTTGCAAGTAGAGAAGTAGACCAAAGTATATGAAACAATTTTTAATTAAAAATTCAAATTTAAAACAGTAGGCAATCACTTTAATCTCCAGAGACAGGTATAAAAAGGTGAATGCAGTCAAGTGTTGGTGAAAAGGTTAAAAATAATGCACTGCATCTCTTTTATGATCCATCATTTCCATATCAGGGTATAAACAGCAGAGGAGTCCTTGCACAGATTTGTAGGTGCATATGCCCAGTATTATTCACTTGGATGCTTTACACACACACACACACACACACACACACACACACAACACTGAGGTTCTGAACATGCCCTATGTACCCACACTAGGAGAATGGATCTTAATTTTATCTAATTAATAAGTGGACAAAGTTCTACTATGTGTCATTTGGACATGATTAAAATAAAATAGACACCAACAATTTAAAAACATTGTCAAGCAAAAAAATATAGTAAAGGATGAACTATATGACATAATCACATTTATATTAACCCAAACCACATAAAGATACATATCTAAGGGTATTTATTGAATGACCCAACTGTGTACACTTTTGATCTAGTGAGCTTCAATCCTAGAAAGCATACCTAAAGATAAAACATGTAAGGTGTGCTTCAGATACACAGTAAATAACATACCTTGGACTTAATGGTTGAGGGAGAGGAAGAAGTCTTAGACCAAGAGTGGGTGGTCTTCTGATTGTGAAACTTTCTATGTACTAAGGAACCCAATCTAAGATGCGAACTCCAATCTAAGGAATTATGTGATGCAGAACAAAAGAAGACTTCATCTGAGTGAAAGGTTTAAATTTTCCAATATTCTTCAGACCTTCTTTGATGTCCCTATCTACATTTGCCAATTCAAATCTCTTAGAAATCCTATTGAGATGAAAATTCTTTTATTTTTTTATCCAAGGATTCTTCAAATATAATTAATTATGATTTTTTCTTAGAAAAACCAGTTTCATCTTTCTAGATAGATGCATTTTATGGAATGAAATGTGAGCACGACTGCTACAATCCATAAGCAAACAAAGGATTTTTAAGAAGTGAATGGGTATGATCAGATCTAATTTACTTTTCTTCCTCTTGAGGCATCATACTTATTGAATATTGACATTGCACACATTTCTGTGATAAGTTTTATTGGAAAAAAAATTAGTAAAATGAGTCACAGATTTTACTCACACAGAGTTAACTGGAGACATGTAAATATATATTAATTTCTATTCGTGAAGTTAAATTAAACAGTACTATAGAATTCATCATCATATTCTTATATGCATAGAACATATTTTGATCATATCCATCCCCTATTACCTTTTCTTTCACTCCCCTCCCCCTGATCTCTTTCTTCTTTTATACTAGCTTTTTGATACATTCATGTCATTTCATTTAACACATAGAAATAAATTAGATGATGTGGCCTATGGTATATGAGAGTATCTAAAGGAACTGATGAAACATTTGGGAGCTATTATGTGGCTTTGGAAAAGAAAAGGCTCACAGAAGGTTCAGAATGACCAGCAAGAACAATGTGCACATTTATATATGACCAACAGAACTCTGTGATCAAATAAAGGAACACAGATTTTTTGTTTTTGTATAATACATTGCCTGTCACAGCAGAAATTCCATTTATAGGAATGCAAGTGACCAATATATGCCTGGAAGGCATTCATATATTGATCTGACAACTTATAAGAGTTCATTATAACCATATCAAGTGGAAAGTAGACTCTTCTTGGGATGTTCCTGAAAGGTCCATGTTGAATTGACAGAATATTAGTTTTCTTTTTACAGTCTATCTTCCTTATGTGAAACTCATATTATTTCTGCATTTGTATATGAAAATATTCCAGCATTGACTAAGGTAGAAAATAACTCAACCGGCTCTATAATTTGATGGTTTTGTAATCATACTATAAAATGATTGCTCTCTTCTCTAATCCAAAACCAATAATGCTGAAGGATGGTACATACTCAGCACGAGGTTTCTCAATGAGGAATTATAAACAATCTGGCAAATATACTTGTGGGACAGTGAAGAAGGTGTTTTCAAGATTGTTCCCTAAGATGAGTTAAGTACTTTACATCTGCACAGAGTTGTACAAGTAAGATCATCAAATCAGCTCCCCACTCTGCATGCTACCAATTCATCATTAAAAATCAAACCTTGTGATATCCCTCTCATCGATTCAAGGGAGAATGTGGTAAACAACGCAAAGTAAAGAGATTTGGAATTGCCTCTTCTAATCACCCAGATCCCTATTGCCAGGCGTGTTTACAACATAGCCACACTCAAGATCAAGTGTCTTCTCCTGACCTACACAGAAGAACCTAGTTGGGAAAATAATAATTTTCTATGATCCCACTCAGAGACTGTTCCAGGTCCACTGGTTCTGATGATTCCCTTTCTGGCTAACTTTATCAGATTTCTTTCTGGTTTACCTTATCAGCTGACTCCTTCATGGAACCAATTTTCTACAAGGCAATGCTTTGTCCCTTGCATTTGGTTTTGCTTCCCATTCCAAAATTCCAAAGAATGACCCAAGTCTTTAAATAAAATGATTGAGTTCTTGGCTGACCCTTCGGATATGGAGATATGGTCTTTCAGTGTTAAAAGATTTGTACTGTGGTTACTTATTCTCAAATCATTTTCCTTGTGTCAATGAATTCTGCAAAGTTCTACTTGCAAGTAGAATAATTTCAGTACATTTTTTTTTCTGCCTATAATTTCTATACTGCATACTTTTGTAAAGGAGAGTTCAATCTGCTTCTTTTGGAAGTGAAAGGGAGAGAAAGAGGGCAAGGGGAAGTGTACTTAAATTGTTTAAATGGGGATATCATTTCGAAAGTATTGGTATAGTTAAGAATTGTGTGCAGGATCCCAAAACTAACAGCAGAAAGAATACCACTAATAGTCTTAGTTTTGATTGAAAAATGAGAATAAATTGTTACTTGAAATTGGAAAGAAATCTCAGGTTTTTACTTTCAGCACAGGAGACAGGAGCATGACAAAGAAAGGTAGTTGACTTTTTGGAAATCCATTGATGATAAAGGGACCAAATAAATTTAGATGGAAGTAAGACGAAGCAAAGGAACTAAAGAAAGAAAAATGTTTAACTGCTAATTGATTGAGCATTACAGGGTACCATTTTCATAAATTTGTATGAAATGTCGACAAAGTAAGTGGTATTTTTAATCACCTTTCTATAGGTTAAAAAACTGAGATTCTGAAATATGAAGTAACTAGACCAAAATCACATTTTCGTCTATGACAAAAGCTGAAATTT